TGCTGACAGAACAATGTAAGTACCCCCCTACGCTGACAGAGGGATGTTCCTGAGTGATGGAACATAATGTTGACAGAACAGTGCCAGTACCCCCCTACACCGACAGTGGGATGTTCCTGAGTGATGACAGCACAACGTCCTGTGGGCAGCCAAGTCAAAAAGGACACAAGTTGTGAGCAGTGCTGAGCTCCAGCAGCAGAACACTTTATCGCTGTCCTCAGCAGTGTCACCCATGGGCCACACAGCGGGACGTCACTCTGCTTGTGGGCTGTCACTCTGACAGATGAGGCCCCGCACTATGGATACTGACCATTCAGGCTCACACTCCGTACCCAGGATCCAACAGGGCTCCACTGTTTCTCCATCATCTTGGTCACACTCTATGTCATTTTTTCACACCATTCCCCCAAACATCATCCATCCATAATGCTCTCATAATCTCTTATAAGGGGATAGTTTACAGATTTAAAGCTTCTTCATTGGGTCAATATCTACAATTCAATCCCAGGATCTGCCTTCTGATACTGTCCAAATGAGCCATCAAGTTCACTAAGATAATCTCTCATAAGATGAGGTCATAAGATATTCTTCCATAGCTTCCATTTCTTTCAGTGATAAATATTTAGATTAGTCCAAATTTGTGCCAAGTATCAGAACCAGCCAGCATGTATCATCGCAGAAGGAGAACCACCGGCCCAGACCCTGGAGTCTTGACAAGGGCTGTACATAATCAAAATATGTGCAAATTATCTCTTCGGTCGAGTCGGCCTTTAGAAGATTTCACCGCAGAGAGTGAATCAGCTGCCAAAACCACCCGCTTAATAAAAGGTTCTGCGGCTGATTCCGAAACGCCTGCGTTTGCTTAGCCTGCATTTTCCCTGCTTCGAGATTTACCTCCAGCGATGAATATCGCATCAATTGTGGGCCTTCCTCATGCGCCAGTGCTCAGATGGGGAAGATTCATAGGGGTGTTCCAAGGTATCTAAAAAAGAGAGGGGAGGCACCGCAAGAAAACACCAGCTCCATAACGAAGACAAAGCAAAGAATGATGGCGTGATGACAGATGGAAAGGGTGCCGAGGTGGGGGTGCCCATTAACAAACAGAGATTTGGGGTTATAAGTCTTGGCTTGGAGTAAATAACGAAGGTGGAGGAGGGACCTGTTATTGAAAATGCAAAAGCCTGATGGAAACTGGAGTCAGTCACTGCGTTTGTGTCCCTCAGGCTGTCTGGGGGCAGGATTTAACAGAACCGGGCATCTCCATTGGTCCATTGGTCTGGGCTAAGAGTTAAGGTTGAGCTGACTGTGGACATTGGAGATGAGGGGACATACCAGGAATCCACTATGGTAATACAGACTTAATACAGTTTTTTTATGGCTGCAAATGCCCATGTTCTGAATATCTGCATTTTTAGAACAAACAAGATGGATGATGCTCCATTCTACCTGTTGGTCCGTCGTTTATTTCTTGGAGAGACAAAGGAGATGCATGGAGGCAAAGCAATGATCTCAAGAAGGCTGCACTGTTTTACCTGAATTAAAAGTGTGTTGGGGGGGGGCATTCAGAAGCTGTGTGGTCGTGGCAGGGCAGAGCACACAGCACCCCTATACCACCAGCCAGCTACCCATTCTGCTTGGTACCTCAGCTTCCTTCCAGCAGACCAGCTCCCACTAAGCTAACCACTATGATCCCCCCACAGATATTGAGGCCCATTCGCTGGAAACTGCAGCCCATTGGCTGGCCGCTGAGCTCACCGCTACGCCCCCCCCCCCCCCCCCCGGGGAAGTGCGCCAGTTGGCTGCCGCGCGGTGGGACGGGGTGAGACTTTGCCGCCAGTCCTCAGCTGACCTGGCTCCTGCAGGGAGGCGTGCCTGCTAATCGGGGCTGAGGTGCTGGGCTTTCGCCTCCTAATTGGTTTGTGTAGCTGGAGCCCGCGGGGATGTGCTATCTAAGCACAGCGTCCTAGAGAGGCTCCTTCCTCGGCTGCCCGGATAAAGAGGGCAGGCAGGGGCTTAATCATCAGCTGCCCTCCTTGATCGCATCACTCGAGTGCGCTGCAGCACCCCGGAATAACAGAGGGCTCCCAAACATAATGGGCCCCTCCCGTCAAGAAGCTCGCTGGAGCGGCGAGGCCTGGGTCAGGCAAACTTACACCCCACCCCCGCAAAAAGTGCTGATGGACAACTCCAGAGGCAGTGGGGGGGGGGAGTAAGGGGGGTGGTTTCGTTAACAATGGCAGAAGCATTTCGTTTGTTCTGGCTGTGAATGAGACAAATGCTTTTTGTTTGCTAGAGCTCCAGAAAATTCCACGGCTCGCTGCCTGGTTTCGGCTGTACGGGAGAGGAAGGGAGGGCGTGTTTACCATGATGAGCGGACGCCACACTGCTCGGAATTACAGAGTCCATGGGGCACCCTCAAATGCTAAAGCCAGGATATAGACATTTATGGAGGGGATCCCATCCTGTCTGTACTTCGGCCATGTGCCCTGTACTGCCTGCAAAGACCTCTGTGCCTGCTCTGAATAAATGGCTAAAAGACGAATGGATGGATGGATGGATGGATCAAAACAATTCACACGCTTTTTAAAATGGGGCTACCACAGCTGTGGGTCTGCTTGGACCTAAATTTCTGAGGTTGTGTAAGACATAAGGAGTGAGTGCTGACAGAAGTGGAGCTAGCGCCGTTATGCTAAGCAGAAAGACCGCTTCACATCTTAAAAGTGACCCTGTGTAGATTATGCCAGCATTAAAATACCAGTATGAAAATGAATGCATTTTAATCAAGTCCCCGGCAGTCCCAGCCACGAGGAGCATAATGAACTCTTTCATCATTCACCTTGTTTATTCCCTAGACAGATCTGAAATGGATTATATGACCTCTCATTTTGAATGTTTTTTTCTGGACTTGTAAATATTAGTAGAACTGGCATATCTAAAAGAGATTTTGTCAGAAACTGATTCCATAAATACTTTACCTAATTGTAAAGCAGCAATCTATAGTCACAGAGAAATATTTTGTGTCATTTTGGAATGACATTTTTAGTCGTTATTAGTATTTAATGGTGGCTGCCTGGCAGTTGTGTATCCATGGGCCATTCTAGGTCTTACTGTGTTTTAATAAACCCGTCCAGAT